TAACATAAGTATAGTATTGACAATAACATAAGTATTGATGAAAATACAATTTTATTATTGACAATAATTTTAGTATTGACAAATGCCATTTTAGTAATGACATTCGCGTTATTTTCATTTAACCATGAAGAATGATATGCACAAAAATGAATGAAATTCACAGTTCATGATAGTGTCCAGCAATACTCTATTTGTTAGCATGTGAACATGCCTCAACTAATCAGCCTTTTATTTTATTGATTTCCAAGATTTTAAATCTGCATTACAGATTACTGTTTTCTACGCCAGTGACTGTAGGTTTGATTGCTATTGCAGGCCGACAGACAGCGGGCAAAGGTACAGGAAAGCATACTCTGGCCCAAACATTGATCTTTCTGAATCCTTACAATCTATTCCAACTATTACAACATTTGCATGTAGCATGAAACTTCTGGGAGACAGTCTAACTGGCAACATGATGTATACTTGCTTATTAGTCAAGTCCTACTGCAAACAACATAGACCCTGATCTGACAGCACATAATATGCCCACAGATCGGTGTTAAATTGATCAGTCCTAACAGATTGCATAAACCCAGATCTGCTGGTAAATTTTGCAATGGAAGATCTGGGTCTGTTAATTTTGCAGTTACACTCACTAAATCAGTAAGTATAAATAGTAATTATGCTTATTTAATTGTTTCGATGTTATGCTTTATAATTTATGAATATTCTGAATCCATATAATATGTTGAGATGAGAATCTTATTATTCACAATCTGCACTGATGCTTGAGTTTCGACAATGTAGTTACCTTTGTTTGCTCTAGAAGTACATTGATTTTTCAATTGGTAATTGACAGCTGTCAATCAGCAACTCCTTACCTAGTATTAGCAATTCAACAGTTGCTATGCAGTTTATTCCATATTGTTTGTTTGTGCAAGTTGTTGCAGATCGAAAAGTTACACTTATAACTTTATGAGTGTATATATGTCAAAATAATTTAACTACATATAATTTTTTAAAATTTTGGTTCAGTTTTGACAGACATTTCAACAATGTTGTTGAAATAGGTAAACAGATTTTCACAACATAATGTTTGATTTAAATTGATATGCTAATGAGTGAGCAGAATATAGTTGATAATTCAGTTACTCTGTGGCCAAGAAAAAGGCTTCATTGTGGAATGTTTATTCCATGATGAAGAAAAATGCTGCAATATGGAGCTTTTATTCCCTGACCAAAAAGAAGGCTGTATTGTAGAGTTTTTATTTTATGGCCAAGAAAAATAAATTCTCAAGTTTTTGTTTGATTGCCAAGAAAAAGGCTGCAATGAAGATTATTTTTTCAAGCCAAGAAAATGTCTGTAATTTGGAGTGTGTTGTTTCAGATCTTAGTCTCGTGTAAGTTTCATCTTCATCATCATCATCATCATCATCATCATCATCATCATCATCATCATCATCATCATCAATCCTTTAACTGAAGAGGTTGTTAGGGAACCACAGTTGACTTTACAATCAATTAATTCTCTCTATCTTTCCCTGTTTTATACTACCCTATTGGAATCTCCAAACTCCATGCCTCCTTAATGTTGTCTTCTCACCTCTTTTTCTGCCTGCCTCTTCTTCTACACCCTTGTACTGTGCCTTGCAAGATTGTTTTTGCCAGTCCAGATGATCTTGAGACATGACCATATCACTTCAGTTTGCACTTTTTTTTTACAGTGGTCAAGTCGTCTTCATAGAATCCAATGGCTAGTTGGATCTTGTTGTGGACTTCTTTGTTGGTTACATGGTCAATGTATGAGATGACCAAGATCTTACGGTAGCATCAGATTTCAAAGATTTGAATCCTTCTTTGTAGATTTGATAAGAGAGTCCATATTTCACAAGCGTACAGAAAGATGGATATTGCAATTGAACACATCAGCCCTATTTTGGAACCCAAAGCAACATTGGTATCTTTCCATATTGGTATCTACCTTGTTAATGCTGTTGTTTCGGCAATCCCTCCTCTGTGATAATTGATCCCAAGTACTAAAAGCTTGTGACTCTTTCCAGCTTCTGTCAACTGACCTTTATTTCTACATTGATGCCATTGGTGTGGTTTGTCATCAGTTTGTTTTTTGTGCTAATGTCAATACCATATGCTGTGGAGGTTGTGTTGAGGAGTTCAACCATTCTGCCAGTTATTTTGTATCTCGTGCTAAACCATCACTATCATTTGCGAAGTGAAGGTTAGTTATTGTTCTTCCTCCAATGCTGACAGTGCCCTTGTGGTTATGCAAGGCATCCTCCATGGTCCTTTCCAGGAAGGTGTTGAAGAGTGTAGATGACAGTATACATCTCTGTCTGACTCCTACTTTTGTTGAAAACCAATCTCCTCTGCTGCCATTGATGAGAACATCACTGGTGGCTTTGTCATGGAGGTGCTCAACTACCTGCACCAGGTTTTAACTGATGTTGCCGATAAGGCTGCATGCCATACCCTATCAAAGGCCTTTTTGAAATCTATAAAGACATGGTATAGATTCTGCTGATGCTGAAGGTATTTCTTGCAAAGGAGTCTGAGATTGACATTAGTATTAAGCATTGTTAAAAGGCATACAAAGCATCCATAGCTGTTATGCAGTCATCATTTCTAAATGGAAAATTCTATATATTTGTTTCAACTCTTAATCATGACCTCGTGTTTTGTATATTTGGCAAAATATGTGCTTACTTTGCAAATAAGTTTCAGAAATAGACTCCTCACTGGAAATTGGCATCACTCAAAAAGAACAACTCGCAGAGATGATCTGATATTGTGTCGAATGTGTGTTGGACACACATCCTTGAATCACACATGCGCATTGCGCACAGATTTTAAGCATCTGATATTAAGTAAAATAAGGATTTATTGCGTGTAAATAAATAACATTTAATGTGGATGGAAATCATTTTAAGCAAAACATAACTAAAGAGTATAAAAAAAGAAATATTGGTTATAAATGGTAAATATTGAATACGGAATAAATTTATTCTGAATAAAAATGAATGAAAACCATAGTATTTTAATGGCAATTATCGCATAAGAATGTGTGTGTGTGTGTGTGTCTGTTTCCATTCTAGAGGAGCATGATTACCAAAGATTGAGTCCATGTGGTTGGCCATTCTCCTATCTTCCATATCTTGTTGCAGATTAGGACTATGACTATCTCTTCTCCTACTTGAATGAGCTGTGCTGGAATGTTGTCAATGTTTGCTGACTTTCCTTTCTTTAATGACCTGACTGAAATTTCTACTTCTTCGCAAAGAATGGTGTTGTCATCAATTTCTTCTGCCTGAGGGCAATTTAGTACTGCTGGATCTATCTCCATGGGTCTTATGATTGTACAATTCTGAGCAGTGTTCTGTCCATCGCTTGAGGATCTCTTGATCTTCTGTGAGGCATTGTCCTGATTTGTCTTCGATGGTTGTAGTTTCTCATTGTTTATTGGTTGTGAGATCTTTCACCCATTGATATACCATTTTGCTGTTATTTCTACTCACTGCAGACTGTCTTTGATTTTGCAGCATTATTTTTCTATCCAAGATTCCTTTGCCTTTTTCATACATTTCCTGATCATGTTATTTATCTCTCTGTATTTTCTAGCTCCTTCATGATCTCTTTTTCCCTTTTTAAGTACTCATCTTTTGTCACATAGTTCAAGAACATCTGTTGTGACCCAAGGTTTCTTTGTTTGATGATATTTGACAATGATCTTGATAGCTGTGATAGTCACAGCTGTGTTGAATATGTTTGTTAAAAACTCTAGGTCAGTGCTTGCTTGTCCCCTGTTCAGCTGAAGTAAAGCTTATTTTCTTAATCTTTTGTTATTATGCCATAGTTTTTCCAGCTCTCTTCACACATATTTCCTCGGGCCCGAGGATGTCAACTTAAATGGGTAGCACTGTTGTACATGTAATCAGTGTAAGTAATGTTCTAGTTTTATTTTGGGATTTTTATATAATGCAGTACTGACAATCAAAGTGGATGGAGTTTGTGTCATGATTTTATATTTTTGTATTGAATTATATATACGAATAGTTCATCAGTTTTCAGTGTAATTAAGTTTGAATTTTGACAGAACAACATTCTGAATGAGAATCTATAAAATTTCCATTTTGAAATAAAATAATTTTGTACCAAGCAAAAGTAATTGCCTTAAAGATCTTTTAGTTTGTGATTAACAGGTAGGGGAGGTAATGCCTGGTTGAGTCCAGTTGGCTGTGCCATGTTTACGTTACATGTTCGAATTCCCTTGGACAGTGAACTTGGTCAGAGAGCCTCGTATTTGCAGCATTTAACCTCACTAGCTGTTATCCAAAGTGTCTGCTTATTGCCAGGATGTCAGGTATGTGCTACCATGATTTCCATGTCACCAAATTTTCAGATAAAATATTTTTATTTTATATGTGTATTCATTAGGTTGTAGGAAGTAATACCAGAGAGCCATCCCTTCCTGTAAACCATGTTATATACCTATTAGATGAAATATCTCCATCATAAATTATTCTGAGAACATGTCACTTTTTATTTAAAGAAAGATTTTTTAAAAACTTATGGAGCCATAGTCTGGAAAGTAGAGACTGATAATCCATTATTGTTAGAATCAAAATCAGTATCTGCTTATATAGTGGTTGTAGATCTGGAAATCAGTTTTACATGAGAATATTTATTTAACATGAAAATATTTATTTTAAATAATAACACAATCAAGAAAATTGTCACTCCATAATTGATAGCAATTATATTTGCCAGTCCTGAAATATTATTTGGATTTTATTTTTAAATGTAGTTTTGACAATTCTTCTGTCATATCGCAACAATGTCTGCATTGTGGCAATTTATTATGATGTCTAGCACTGGGGCATATAGCATGATGTCCCACCCAGTCACATCATCCTGACACCAGGCCGACCAGTTCTAACACTAACCTCTTAATGATGATCGACAAGCGAGGCAGCTGTTAGTACCATTTTTGTAAGTTTTTGGTATGACTCAGCAGGGGATTGAACCCACAACCTCCCTCATCTGAGGCGGACACTCTAACCACTAGGCCACTGGAGTGGTCTGAAGTATTATTATTTTTTTGTGACTTGCTTGATGCAAGTTTTTAGTACCAAAATGCATTAAATGGGACTTATTCATTTTGTGCTTCTGTTATGAAATTTTAGAATTCACCAGGAAAAAAGACGCCATATTAGTCATGGAAGCATCACATTCTCCATTTCATTACAGCTAACAATTTTGGATTGTAGTTTGACATCCCATCCCATATAGGAAGAAAGGAAATCTTTTACTTTGTTTGAATAAAGCTTAGATGATGTGATTACTAGAATTAATGCAAGTCACTTAATACCTACTGCGTATAGCAAATCATATTGCATTGATAATGAAGTGATGCCATAAATTTAAGGCCATGAACCTTATTAGTTTGCCTTTGATGGCCATGAAAAATTTGTAAGAACTAACTCTAACTATGACTAATTCAGTGACCATAAAAAGCATATTTTAGATAAACTTCTTTAACAGGTTACTGTCTAATCATGGCTGTTAAACATATCTCTTGGATGTATACCTCTTGCTCAATGGTATGCCATAATGTAAAGTGTGACCAATAAATTTAATACCATTTTTACAAGTTAGTTTATACTAAAAGCTGTGAAAGTGAAGTTACTTGTGAGAAATTTGAATGGCATATTGTGGCCACTAAAATGTAGCCATTAAGTAATTGATGCATTGTTAACCTCAAAATGCAGCGTACAAAATTATAATTTTATGACCACTGATACATTGGGATGATATTTCAGTGATTCGTATTTACATTGCAAGTATTTCTTTAATAAACTGTCATGGGTGCTTGTAATGGCTGTCATCTGATTCAAAGGGTTTACGATTTTACATTGATTTTTATGGTGGCTTCATGGTTTATGCATGCCGTAGTATTTGTTGCAAATGTCAACTTTTGAGAGTTATCCCCCCTGCATTATTGATAAGTGAAATTTGTTAAAGTATTCAGAAAATAACATGTTGAATAATAAATCTTCAACAAAGAAATATGTTGTTGATGCTTTTCTCCATATATTCTTGGTTTATGCTAGCCTTCATGAAAAACTGACTTTTTTATAAAGCTCAACATTTTTAAATGTTAAATTATTACATTTGTGTGACATATATATCTGCAACTGGAATGTATGTCAGTATTGCTCTTTGGAAAAACTCTTTACTTTATTATTATCATGATTACACATTTATTATGTAAGTTATACAGACATTTGTCAGTATTTTGCACAATGACCTTTTTGTTATGACTGTTTGAGTCACAATTATACCACTTTTTATTTTTTTCATTGAAAAGTTCCCAAAAATAAAAATGGAAAAATCATGCAATTACCTTCGAGTTACTTAAAGATTTATTCAAATGGATCATCATCAAAAACTTACTTATAATTACTCATACAACTAGCCCTTCCTTGAGAGATTCAGCCTGAAACCATTGAAGTATATGTACATGTGAAAGTTTTACTCCAAAGTATTGTGTTGTATTATATTAGATGAGGTGTATGACATTATCTATGCATAAACACATGCACTGATGGACAGTTTTAGCTATTATTTATTTTCTTCAGATTTAATACTTGGATAGTATTTAATAACTTACATTCAGTGTTGTCTGAGTTAACAATGCAGTACAGAAAAATTGAGATAAAACTGGAGTCATTAGAACAGATCTTTTTAAAGAAGTCATATAAACCAACTTATATGACAGGTTTCCAGGTTCAGTCTCATGTCAGCATTGTAGTGAAAACTGACAAAAAAACTAAATACTTTGCTCAGGCCTGAATAGCTAATTAATCAACTTAATTTTAATAACATTGTTTATGCAGCATTTTATTGGTTTGGGGGATTTTTTTTCTTCAAATTTTATGTTTGTTTTTCTTTAAACATATTTTTATGGCATTTAGTCTGTTTTAAATTTGGCCAGGAAAATTCCATCATATTTAAGTTATTGCTATTGGTAAGGGATTTAAGAACATTTTCAATACACAATAGGCTATACATGGCAGCCAGTATTACTGGTGGTGAAAAAAACCAAGAAAATCCAAGAAGGAACCATTGTCCCATGGGAAGCTGCTGGCAAGCTAACTCATGTGCCCACATTGGCCAAGCCCAAGACTTGAACTTAAGCAGATAGAGATGAATTGGTAGCGATCCATAAAAGTGCTTTAGACCACTCGGACACTTATAGCACCCTCATGTTTAAGTAATCCCATGACATGGTAAGGCCATTCCAAGGAAACTCCAGACATTGTTTAACAATCAAGCCAGATTTTGAAATGTGGAGGAAAAGAAAAGACACCACCCATCATTATACTAAAGAACTCTTGATTGTTACAGTCATCTATTATCCTGATATATGCTCCTCTAACATGAAATTTTTTTTTATATTTTTGACCAGGATATTCCCCTGAGGCTGAAGTGGCCAAATGACATTTACTATGGCAGTGAGATGAAACTTGGGGGAGTTATTATCATTTCCACAATATTGGATGGCATGGTCCATGCCACCATTGGTAAGTTTATCTAAACTTTATGAGTCTTTTTATACCCCTGCCATGAACATGGAAGTAGCATATAGTCTCACCCTTGTCCATGTGCCAGTTTATGGAGCCGTCTAGTTTAATTTTATGTTTAGGTTGGTTTCTTAGGCAATGGTACCACCATATTTGTTCAGCTTGATATGCAAATGCATCTTGGTGAGTACAAATACCAATGCATCAAACAGTATAACCATATTTTCACGCTTCAGTTTTTTTGGTTAATTTTTTTTCTTTAGATAAATTTGTCAAACATTGTTGTCACAGAGTCGTGTGATTTGGTATGTAAAAAATATCACGGTGAGTGCAACATCTTTGTACTAAACGTAGATTTCAAAATATTATCTTTTAGGGTCATTTGATTGTAGAGTCATTAAAACAAGGGTATTCATATTCTTTTAAAACATGGAGTTTTATTCCCCATTGCAGTTTTCTGTCAAAGCTTGGTTGAGTTTTGCACTTTTTACATAACTTTTCTTTGCTTTTTTAAGTAACTTTCCTTTGGTTTCTTATGTAACTTTGCTTTATTTATGTAACTAAACCATCAGTATCATCTGTGAAACGATACATAATCATGAACTAAATGTTTCTATAACTTATCCTGATGACTCAAATGTTGGTACATGGAAGCTTGTGAGTTGGAAGAAGCTAAGACCCATGAGAAAACCACCAACCATGCATCATGTTCTATACTCTCCAGATCATGCACTGCACTAATGATGTTTTGATGCTATATAAGCCTTTTTCCATCATCTTGCTAGTTGACATGAGTATCTTTGACTGGGTCCCACTGTCATTCTGCTTGTATACAGTGAAATCTAATAAAGAATGAAGAAATATGAACCATGCCAAATTAGACAGGTTAGTCATCATACATTGCGAGGTTATTGGCTTACTATAACATCTGCTCACATTCTTTCTGGTGATGTCATTGATTTTGTTTTCCATCATCACACAGAAAGAATCTTAGGAGGCTATTGGTCAGTATGTCATATAAAAGCTTGGCACTCTTCATCAACACTATATTAAAGAAAAATAATTTCAGTCAATACAATTTAAATTAAGTATCATTATGTTATTAAAGGGGACATATTTCTCCAGATGGCATTTTTTTGCCTATCATAATAATTTCAATGGGGAGGTAACCCACTGTGCAATGTTTAACCATGGATTGGCAGCCATTTGTGCTTTTACATCAAGGGGCAGGAGATAGAACCTGGAACGTCATAGTTGCACAATACTTGCATTTCTGCTGTACTGTCCAGATTCCTCATTACAAAAGCAAAAGATGGATTGTTCAGCCACCATTCCATGCTTTTGTTTCAATGTCTTTGTCATTCTGCAGGAATTTCTACACTAATTACATTTTTCTATTGAATACATTATCCAGTCACATTAACATTAGGAAAATTCTGCTGCTTCCTGAATCTGGCCATCCCAAAAAGATGGAAAAAATATAATTCTTCAGCATTGCTAATCTTGCCCAGCAAGTTGGTCACCCATAATCCAAATGTTTACCACATTACCCACAAAGGCACCCACACACATTTTGTGAAGATTTAATGTACAACATTGATGGCTACTGTCATCTCAGACCCTGTAGTTCTAATAGTAGACACCCTACTCATTAATGGAATTGCAAATGCATTGCTTTTTCCAACAAGGTGTATGTAAAAAACTAGCTTCCAGAGATTTTGCTATAAAGCTGTCATCTCAACTATCTTTAGAAAAGTTGGAGAATACTGGCAATACACACACAAACAAACACACACACACACACACATCTGACCCCCCTCTCTTTTGGTAGCTTAATGGGCACATAGGTTTACAGTCTGACTTAGTGGATTTTACCATACTGCAAGACCCAATAAGAGCTGATTGGCTCAATGAATACTGTTATACCTGTATAAATTCAATAAGAGCTGATTGGCTCAGTGAGTACTGTTATACCTGCATAAATTCAATAAGAGCTGATTGGCTCAGTGAGTACTGTTATACCTGTATAAATTCAATAAGAGCTGATTGGCTCAGTGAGTACTGTTATACCTGCATAAATTCAATAAGAACTGATTGGTTCAATGAGTACTGTTATACCCTGTATAAATTCAATAAGAGCTGATTGGTTCAATGAGTAATGTTATACCTGCATAAATTCAATAAGAGCTGATTGGCTCAATGAGAACTGTTATACCTGTATAAATTCAATAAGAGCTGATTGGCTCAGTGAGTACTGTTATACCTGCATAAATTCAATAAGAGCTGATTGGTTCAATGAGTACTGTTATACCTGTAAAAATTCAATAAGAGCTGATTGGCTCAATGAGTGCTGTTATACCTGTATAAGTTTTGTGTGGGCCCAAATTGTTCTTAAGTTATTGACAGCAAAGCTTATTAACATTCAGCTGTGACATTTTAAAAATGAGGTATGTCACTTAATTGTGCTGATGAAATGAGTAAATGCAGTTTCAAAATG